AATTAAAAATTATTTTCTCTTATTCATTTTATGGTAAATTGTAAAAATCATATGTATTAAAATTTTGTAAATATACGTAAATACTTGAAAGTTATGTAAAAGTAGAATTTAGTCTAGAAGCATAAAATTTTAGATGCTAAAAGTAAATGCTCAAAAGCAATGAATTCAAATTTAAGTATTAAACTGTAGATAAAATCATGCTTTAGAGCGAAAGCCTGCATGTCTAAAGATGAATGAGGGGGAAGTTAGAATGAATGTGTTTTGTAGGGTTCTCCACCTACACTTGAATTTTAAGAATGTTAAAGTAGCTCATCGAGTTGTAGAATGTCGAGTAAGGTGTGTCTATTTGGTCGTTGAATTCTAACAAATCATGGTGGTTAGGGGAAGTGTTGTAAGACTAAAACACGAATATTCCCGTTTGACACCACACATGGTGGAGAGCCAGGGTAAAGTTAAATTAATGCTTTGAAAACTTGAATGAATGTGAATTAAGCAGTAACTAAGGAAAAACGAATCGTTTAAAAACAAAAATTTATTCAGTGTCAAGAAAGTGTAAATTATAATGTATTTAGAAAGATACTGATACTTATTCCTTCCAGATGCTGGAAGGAAAGAACAAGATTGATTGATGAAGTCCAGGAAAAGTTGCTGTAAGAAGAGAGATTAAATAAGTATCTACAGAAATTTAGTATACCTTTGTTACATAAGATTTTTTTTGTGTAAACGAGGCTCTTAAGTTAGTTCAGAATTGTAGAAACTTTACAACAGGTCGTTTGTAGGACCTGCTTCCAAGTTTTCCAAATTCTGGCAGCGGCAAATGTAGGGTTTATATTTATTTTAACTAACATTTATTTTAAGTTTAAACTATCTTTCCTGTCAAGCCTTACTTTCCCCTGGAACTTGCCAATGCCAGAGTATGTAAATTTTAGTAGAACGCGCAAGGATTCAAATTATCAGCGGAAGTATTCTGAGTTAAATAGAAAGGAAACGAGTTCGAAAGTGTGCTTTCTTACTTCACGAGCGCGGAGGTAGTTAGCCAGAAATTGAAGAACCCCGCGTTTCGGCCTGTGTGCTTGCCTCGGAGAATTGTTAATTGTTCAACGTGATATTCAAAGTTTGCTGATTCAAACGTGATATTCAAAGTTTGCAGCGGTATTGTAAAACGCGGTGAGGTTAGTTACTTTTAGAGAGCCTCGTAGTTAGAGTCTTGTTATTATTTTCTTTTCAGGTTCTTATTTTTATTTTACCGCCGGGTCGGCGTAGTTTGTGAGCGTCAAGAGCACGCAATTGTAATTTCTTAAGTTGAATAAAAAGGGACTTGAACCCTTAGCAAGGCTCTGTCTATTTTCCAGTTTCAACAGTCACCTTTTGGTTGCGTGCAGGTTGGAGGCGCGCAACTCTACAGTCTGAGGATTAATTTTCTGCAACAACTAGGTCTAAGCGTGACCAACTTGTATAAAAACGCAAATAAATATTGATATTGACCATTAAGGCGACTACCTACTCAGAAGACTAAAATCATCTATAACCATGAATGATAATCTTAGAGAAAATTATGTCTATTTGTTATTTTTCCATCAAAATTTCTGTCCCATGCCTCTAAAATACCATAGCAGATACACTGGATCATAATAAAATAATAAAGAAAATTTTCATGGCAATGAAGGTGAAAAATTATTTTGTAACATTTTTGAAAACTAGCAATTAATGCTAACTATTTTCAACACTTTTGAAACACGAGATGATCGCACTGAAACGTTTTTTTCTGTCTGGAAAGTGTTTCTCAAACAAGGGTTAAAAATTTAGAAATTTATTGGTTCTTAAAATAGTTAATTCTCTAATTCTTTGTTACATCCGTCAGTATACATGGGAATATCTCGTCATTATGAATTGTTAAATTAGCCCCCTCTCCCAGTTAAAAGCATTTCCGGCACCTTAGCTTCACAGCCAATGGTTGTAAGCCTAGTAATCTTTTTTTTTTTTTTTTTTTTTTTAGTTTTTCAAGATTAAACTAGCTGTTAAAGATTTATACTATACTAGCAGCTACGCGGCCAGCCTTCGTCTGGCTTTTAAATGTACCGGGAAAATGCCTGAAGGCAATACCAAATGTTAAATTTAGAAACTGCGCAGAATTTTACTCTGGAGAACAACTTCAGCAAAATAATAATAATAATAACAAAAAAAAAGTTTTACATATAACAAAAATTACAATGAAGTAAATAATATCCCTTCATACAAATATTAATTATCCTAATAAATAATTAACCAACTTCCCGTTGTCTTCTCTCGACAAACGTCCAGTATCCAATAGAAACATTAAATTTAAAAACTGCACATGAAGATCGCCCTCATTTTCCAAGTGGCAACAGTGATTTTCAACAGTCAGAAGTACGAGTATACAAGAAAAGATGAAATAAAAAATCTGAAACGAATTTTGAAAAAATCATTTTAAAAGAATGAAACGATAACGATTTCTTTTTTTGATTATATGTAGAGATAAAAAAAACAGCCGTTTCTTTCATCAGAATTGACTGTAATTATTTTTTACACTTATTTTCTTATATGAAACATTGTTTCGTTATCAGTTTTATAGTGCTTAACACAAGCTATTTTCACAACCGGTTATGCATAGAATATATTTCAAACTTTATTCCTCATTCTACTCACCATAAAGACTTAAATGATCAGTCATAAACTAAATAATAATAATATTAACATAGTGACAATCTTTCTAACCGCAACTTTCTTGTTTTCTAACCTTGAGTGTGAATTATCATATTAATCATTCTTAGAATGGTAGTTTCAAGTTTACTTTTGATTTAGGACATACAGTGTACTTTTGAATTAGAATATAAAATAGACAGTCTACGACTTCGGCTTTACGGTCATGCGAAAGCGATACATTTCACCCTCTGTTGCATATAAATAATCTAGAGAAGTTAAACAAAAATGTTTGTATTTTTTCTACTTAAAATAACCTTAGTAATAATTAAAAAAATTAATTTTATTCAAATTTCATTTTAAATAATTGCTGCAGTTTGTTCACTACAGTGGACAGCATGCATATATGTACATGCATACAAATCTCTTCTCAACGATTTACGGTCATTGCATTTGAAATCATTTCCTGCCTTGTTTGCAGTGATCATTGCCCTCTTCTAAATGGTAAATCTACAACTGACATGTATATACAGATCCCCCAAAATACCTTCATTTCGTCGATTGTGATTGAATTCATTTTGCTACGATTTTGTAACCTGTACCTTTTGGATTCAAAAGTCAAATGTTCTAGAAATTTTTTGCCAAACATAAACATTTCCAGTAGTGTTTGAGCTTGATAAGCAGTACATTTGGGTTTCAATTCACTCTTTTCGGTAAATCTTTATCTACCCACTCCACAATTTTCTCAAACTGACATTTAAAATATAACGTCTAAAATTACTAATTATGAATAAAAAATTGCAGTATAAGAAAATGTAAGCAATATTATATAATGTTTACTCAGGGCTGGATAAAGGGCGATTGGGCCCAATCAGGCCCCGCATTTAAAAGGGCCCCGCGTTACCATCAAAATGAACAATAAAAATTTTTTTTCGAAATTTAAAGCAAATTGCTTTTGACAATAATGGATAAATTATGAATTATTCAAATAATTAAAAATATATTTGTTTTAAGTTCGCATTGCTGGATGAGATTTATTAATGTGTTTATTATTATATAATATATACTTTATAATATAGAAAACTGATACCCGTAAAAGTTCATGTCAAATGTATTGAATTTATTCGGGATAGTCCTATATTAGAGAGATTTTGCACTAAGTACGTGAACTACTTTACGTACGTAAACTACTATGCCGGTATATGCACGCGCAACTAGTTGCGCAACCGTAACAGCCAGTGATGGATGTATAGCTAGTATCAAATGTCAATTGTTTCTTGCATTTGTAGTTTTATATTCAGTTTATATTCAATAAATGTTTTTGTATTTTGAACATTTTTATTTTTTACTTTATGTAGAAATTTACCTGTCTGATGATCCATGACATTTGATATATATATATATATATATATATATATATATATATACTGAATTTAAATTCTGTTTAAATATTAATATATAGAGAGGACTCCGCAAAAAAAAAAAAAAAAAAAAAAAAAAGTCCAGTCGGGCCCCGCACCTATTCGATCCGGTACTGTAAACAATTTACTATGAGAAATTGATTGTACTGACTTGGAAACAGAAGTAGCAGTCATTTTTCAAATAGCAATGCTTTACTTAGTGATGCTATACAGCCATTTATGATCGACATTTGAAAGTTCTGATAATATAGAATGAGCTAACATAGGAATGAAATCTGTTAAAGCATTCACAGAAGAATAAACAAATTTAAACTTGTGTCTGTTAGAGTGGACATGATGCAACAAAGGTTTAATATAAACTGCACTTCGAATTTTTATCTTATACCTCGGTAATAGTACGCTTTATTACGACGTGATCCATACCACGCACGTGCGCAGAACGTGATATAATAATGTAACGTGACTAAACAAATAAGAAGATAAATGCTGATCTTCTTGCTTACTTACTGTAGAGCAGAAATGGTCAACAAGTCGACTGTAATCGACAACGATTTTTGGTACATCACAGTTGACGGAGACAATTTCAACCCGCAAATTTAATCGTGACTCATAAAAACAAATGGTCATGGCTACTTTAGTGTCTTAGTGGCAATAATGTATTAGAGTTTCTATAAAAAAGTGTCACTTTTTCTGGGAAAAACCGCATGTACCTCCACGTATATTTCTTTTGTATTTTAGGACCCATTAAAATAAGTAATAAACAAAGCAAACAAAAAAGGGGGAAAAGAAAAGGGAAAAAATGAAGACTTAGTATTGAGTTAAAACATAAGTAACGGCCGTTTTTTTAATTTAAAAAAGTTTTAATTTTAACAAAACAAAAAACAATACATAAGTCAAAAAAATCCGAGTTTTTTTAACTTTCCCCATAGACCCAAAATGTCGAACTATAGTCATTTGGCTACAACGCATTCGTTCGGCTAATTCTCGAGTGGTTTGACGTGCGTCTTCATGCAGAAGTTGATTCAAACGCTCTTCATCAAACTCATTTAGTTGTCCGGAACGAGCAGCGTCTTCGAGGTGGAAATTTCCATTTTTGAATTTGGCAAACCAATTTCTTGCAGTTCGTCCAAGCATTGCACCTTCTCCATACACTTCACAAATCTCCCGAGCAACTTTTGCAGCATTGGCGCTTCGATTAAACGCAAAAAGAATGTGTCGAAAATGCTTATTTTTGTCGAATTGACACTCCATGTTAATGATCTGAAAAATAACAAAAATTAGCTCAGAGAAAAAAATCAAATACGCCATCTTGTAGAGAGAAGATGCTCTTTCGAATAACACAAAACATTATACCAATACATTTTATTTTTACCGCGTAATTTTAAACACAACATAAACGGCTATTGTTTATACTTCAACCCAATATTTCAATGAAGAGCGGCTACTTTTTCACAATGATAAGCGATGTGTTGTTTTATATTATTGGTTATACAATGTCTCCGCGGCCATTACTAAATAGGCTAATTTAAAAAGACTTTTTTTTTAAATTTACATGAGAAATATCAAATAGATTATCCACAAAACAGCGCCCTGAGAAAAAATGTAAAGAGAAAAATTTTAAAACAGCAACTAAGAAAGAACTTAAAAAATGTTTTTGAAAACTCCATGTTTAAAGTATGTGAAATAATTATTACTTTTTTAAATGCCATATTTTAGCCAAGAAAACCGGACGGAAATTTATCATGGGAACTTTCTTGAAAATGTTGAATTATCTTTTTAATGATTTTAAGAACACGACTAGAATTAAAGCTACAATTAAAATTTTACAATTATCTCGAAGTACTATAATGTAGAGAATTCTGAAAATGAATAAAGCTAAGATAAGGGCATTAACAGATGTTCATGTTTTTCCCTTCCATTTTATAAATCTACAGATATAAGTGACACACCACACCTGCTAACTTATTCGTATGGTTTTTAAATTTTCTTCCACCCACAAATTCTCTGATTATCCGAATAAAGTTAAAATCAATTTCACCACTGAACATAATATATGGCTTCAAGCTTTATAGCTGCAGCACTATAAAGTAAATGTTACTGTCTTGTTAAGAGTTAGTCGTAAATGTCGCAGCAAGTACAAACAATGGAGACTTCGTTTTTTAAAATCACATTTCTGAAAACATCGGTGTTCCGGTTTGAATAGAAACTTTTCTCTGCCTCGGAATGGCAACAGTCAGAACTTGACTTTCGATTTGTTTTGATGCATCTGGTACGCTGCTAATGAGATGTAACATTAGATTAGATTAATTTGTTTGGTATTTTAATAAATTCTTTTTAAAATTATATTGAGTATTTTGAACATAGAATTATCACTGAACCACTACTTATAGAAATTTAATTGTGGTATTTAGATTCATCGTAGAACGTAGATGCGCAGCGCCATTCGTCTATTCGATTGCGTACATAATTTTTGGTGCGTCTTGCCGGGAACCTGGCTAGTATTCGTAAATTTTGGATCAGCACGTTGAATTGTGAAGACTGCTAAGGTAGGATAAGTTTTCTATTTTAAAGTGAGATAATTATGAAAGATTCTATCGCTAAACTTACATCGAAAGGCAAAGTATTAAGAACCGCAGTGTCCAAGATATAAAGAAAATTGAGACAGAATTAAGCAAATATGAAGTTAGTAGAAATGATCTAGATGAAAATTTAGACATATTAAACGAAAAATCAAAGACTCACAAAGATCACAAAGTAATTTAGACACTCAAATAGAACGTGATTTGAAAGTCCAAGCGAAGGAATTTGAACTTGAAATTATATCCTCTCTAGATCACGAATTAAAAATCCAACTGTGGCAATTTAGAGCGAAGAAAAAATTGACGAAATTAAATAAACTCGAAAATTCGGATAAGGGAAGTATGAACATTCCTAATAAAACCGCCACATATTCCACGAAAGGAATGACATTAGCTGAACTACGAAATAGTGACATGTGCTGGCATGGACCTAAGTGGTTATTACAGAGCATCGATTCGTGGCCTAAACTTGCAGAATCAGTTTTCAAAGATAATGAAGAGCTTGAACTTCGAAAGTTAGCTGCGGTGAACTCAACACTCACAGGTGAAATTTCCGTTGGGAACGAATTCATTAAAACGTATTCATCATTTAGAAAATTGATTATAACTACTGCATGGTGTTTAAGGTTTTGAACAAATGTAAAACCAATCCACCATTAAGAACAAAAAGTTTTTTGAGTGCTTCTGAATTACAGAATGTAACAAAGGGGCTATTCAAATGTGTACAACATTCTGAATTTCAACCTGAAATTAAGTGCCTGTGGTCGAAGCGATCAGTTCAAAGTAATAGTAAGGTTTTATCCTTAAATATATTTCTTGATGAAGATGAACTTGGGAAGTTGGTGGGAGACTGAGTCTCTCCAATCTTTCAGTCCAGAGACATCAACTTCTTTTACCCAAAAGGCATCATTTCACTGAATTACTCATAGATTATTATCACAAAAAAACTCTTCATTCGGGCGTTCTTTTATTAGACAATTATACTGGATACCTTCCGGACAAGGTAGAGTTAGACGCGTTATAAATAAATGCACGACTTGCTTTCGGACAAGAAACCAAATGATGAGAGACTTACCTAGAGATAGAGTTGTAATAACTAGACCATTCGAAAAAATAGGATTAGACTCTGCAGGTCCAATTATCACCAAGCCCAACTTGAAAAGAGCTAGGGTTACTTTAAAATCATACATCGCGATATTCAGTTACTTTAGTACAAAGGCTATTCATTTAGAAATAGTATCGGATTTTTCTACTGAAGCATTTCTAGCATGCCTTAAAAGGTTTATTGCCAGATCCAAACCATCCATTGTTTGGAGTGATAATGCTACGAACTTTAAAGAAACGAAGAATGTTCTTGATAAACTCCTTAGAATTTGTAGATCGGATCCTATTTAGCGCTTTAGTTCCGAAGAAGGTATAACATGCAAATTTATTCCTCCTTCTTCCCCGCATTTTGGCGGATTATGGGAGGCTGATATCAAATCAATGAAGAGATTTTTGATAAAGGTCGCGAAAACAACAATTTTAAACTTTGAAGAGCTGTATACATTAATACACAAATAGAAGTTTGCCAAAACTCTCGACTTCTTTCCCCTATTTCAGCTGATTCAGCAGATCTTCAGCCTTTGACTCCAGGTCATTTCCTAATAGGAGCTCCACTTTTGTCGATACCAGAACCGAATAATTCTTTGATTCTTTGTCCTTGTCTTCTAGATGGACTTTAATTCAAAAGCTTAGAGCTAATTTCTGGAACCGTTGGAGCGTGGAATATCTTAATCAGTTGCAGACACGTTCAAAATGGAATCATGTGAAATCCAATCTTAAGGCAGGACAACTAGTCTTGTTAAAGGATCAAAACAAGACACCCATGAAGTGGACACTAGCTCGCATTGAGGAGACCTTTCCTGGTCCAGATGGACTAGTACGAGTTGTGGACGTCAGAACTTCGGATGGAATCTTTCGTCGAGCCTTCTCCAATATCAGTCCACTCCCATTTCCAAATGATGTTGGACAACTGTCCAACGGGGAAAGGGATGTTCCGGTTTGAATAGAAACTTTTCTCTGCCTAGATAGAAATTTAAATGTGGCATTTAGATTCATCGTAGAACGTAGTTAGATGCGCAGTGCCATTCGTCTATTTGATTAGCGTAGATTAATGCGTACAATCGGTATTGAATATCACCTTTGCAAGACGACAATCTCCAATGACAACTAAAATCGTGGGGAATCATGGATATCCATCTTGAAAAAGATTTAATGTACTTATGTTATTAAAATATTTAAAAAGAGAATACCAAAGATAATTTTCGTATCGAAGCCCGTTTGCTCCAAAATAATCCTAAATCGGGATTTTCAATAAAAGGAATCACAATATGCACAGGAGAAATGTTTTAACATAGCATGAATCAACTGCAAACTTTAAATATTTCTCATAATACCTTCATATCAACTTTATTTATGGGCTTGTTTTTCCTGTGCTCACCGATCACACTCAATTTTACTACAACCTACTCGAGACTTCGGTTTACGAATTTTCATACCATATTTCCTTACATTTACAGAGTTGATAATTGTTATACATTGACCCCTATATTTTCCTTCGGTTTGTCATCGGTCTATTTAGATACGTCCTATATATTCTGAAAATATAATGAAACAGTATTTAAAATAAAACATTTACAAAGGACCTACTCTAAGACGATTACTTATAGTTCCTAATTATTTTTTTTATTGAGGTAGTAGTTTTAGAGAAGTGACGTGCTATATCGATGTTTCCAGATATACAGGTGACGGAGGACGAGGCACGCAGTGTCTACAGAGGTAAGGACGTGTATGCCCCTCGTCCTCCACTATCCAGAGTTTATTGAACAATTTAAATAAGTTACATGGTCATACAATGTTAGATGGCAATACAATGGCTATTTTTTGTAGACAGAAGATGCAAGAAACACGTTGCAATGTCAAAATATAAAACAGAGAGCATAAACTATAAAACATTACATATTAAGGATATATAAAACATAAAATACACATAAAACACTACAGCACAATATGCACAAATTTCGCACACATACACATATTTCGCACAGATGAGATTATACTAGATGAGATATGCAAATTTTGCACAGAGGTGTGCCTTTTTCAGGAAGCCTGACAGATGTCTTGTCCTAGAGCTGATACTGAATCGAGGGCCTTGCAAATTTTGGTGATTGGTCCCTGATTTGTAAACAGGATGCTGTAACGTCGTTGCTGCGAGCAAAACTATAACCGGCGAGAGACGTGAAAGACTTCACGATTGATACATCCTTATTTAAAGATGTGGAAAAGCTACCCTCGGCTAAAATGAACTAGTTATCCGCAATTTTTCAATTGAAAATATAGTTGTTATTCGTTAAAAATAGCGTACTTTCTTTAGAAATTTCGTTACAAACAAGATCTATCATTGTTTGGTGCCAAACGGTGGGATCGTTATCCACGACAGGGTTAAATAAATTAAGGCATCAATCTTTGTAGAGGCAAATATTTATTTTGTGTTTTATTGTAAAATCTTATTTTTTTATGTATAATTTGAAAAATGTCATATCTTGGGAAGGGCAAAAAACAAGACCTCCTAAATCTGTGTGTGGAACTCAGTTTAGAGCAGTGTTTCTCAACCTTTTTCGTGCTATGCCC